CGCTATTTCATACGACTGTTCAGTTGCTGTGAAATTCTGCGTCGAGTCTGGCGTAAAGGGTTAATTTTCTATCGCATGTCTCAGTACAGAAAGGTTCGAGAGGGACAAGGCAGAGCAAGTGCATCAATTTCCTTTTCAGAAGTAAATGCAATGTTCTGCGCGTATTTCGCAATTTAAAATTAGTTTCTCGTGTTTAAGATTTCAGAAATAAATGCAACATTCTGCGCGTATTTCGCAATTTAAAATTAGTTTCTCGCGTTTAAGATTTTTTATTTCAGAAATAATTCAGAAGATATAATAAAATAAGAGCCAACACGAGTCATGTGTGTACCTACGTAAATTTATTTTTACATAAACAAAAATAAAATTCTTACTAATAATAAAAATCGCACAATGCATGAAGCATAATAACAACAAATTTGAAACAAATCGTCATATAAAATATGAAATGAGATGTACGATCAAATAAGAATCGCAAAAGCACAATATTAAAATAATGAAATCGGTCATGTCAAAAAATAGTGAAATCGAAAAAAAGTTTCGTCGAATATATGACTTGTCCAAATCGAATGTAGTCGGGATTGAATTTAGCAATACTATATAAAACAAATAAAACAAATATACCTCGACAATAAAAAAATATTCGACGAAAATTTTTTATATAATCAATAATTGATTTCATCATTTTAATATTGAACTTTTATGATTTTTCATAAATTAATTATGCATCTCATTTCATATTCTATATAATATTAGGTGTTGGAATTAATTCGTAGCGTTTTACAAGTGATGGGAAGTACTTTCATTAATGTATTTTTTAATGCTCATGTGAAATAAATAACATTCTTTCATTAAAAACGCTACGAATTAATTCCAACACCTAATAGTTTGCTTCACTTTTGTATCATTGCATTTCATCGTTATATTTCTTCATACTTTGTGCTATTTTAGTATTAACAAAAATTTTATGTATTGTGCAAATTTTATTATTAACAAAAATTGTATATATTAAAGATAACTTAAAACGAGAATTAAAATGTTTATATTTTTAACTAACAATAAGTAAGAGAAGCATCAATTCCGATCAAAAATAGATATTGGAATAATATTTCTATATGTACTTTAAATACATTTATCTCAGATATGTGACTGCGCATCGATTACTTTTCATATCTGAGATAAATGTATTTCAAATACGTATAGAAATATTATTTTAACATCTTTTAACTTTGATCGTGATTGGCTTCTCTTATTTATATTACTTATATAGATGACGTATTCATAAAAGACTGTGTCGCCATTGCTATTTTGATATTTAATAGTGAAGACAATGCACACATGTTATGTATTATATATAATGGCTAATAAAAATTTATATTCACTCTGAATAAAACAATAAGAGAGCTATAAAAAACAGCACTGCAAAAATTACAAATTTTGAATATTAAATTCCGACATTTCAGCTGATTTAAAATCAGATCATACAGCGATATTCACTAACCTATTATGTCGTATGACATTTGTCATACGACAACTTTTCAGATGTGTTAATTGTAAAAAATTCTCGAATCTCTCTATTCTATAACCAAACAACAAGCTTAAAAAACTTGTACGATAGATATAATATCAGTCTTAAGTTGCAACAGCTGCTGCAAAGTGTCTGATTATGACGATGATTCATATTTTTATCTGTGACTCACTTTAGATTCAGTGATATTTCTTAACGTAATTAACATTGTCGAAATTCCGATGACAATAACGGTTCATGAATCGTGTTTTTCCTTCTAGCATAATAAAACGTTCAGGGAAAAGACCTACATTGACGTTTTGTACAGCGAAAATATATATTTATAATGAAAAATGTGAAAAAATAAACAATCATACAGTAATAGCTACGAAAACACTTGTTATATATCATCTAATACATGCACATATTAATATTATCATGGGAAAAACATTTTTTATCTTTCTATCGAATGGTTTAAACAAGTAAAAACAGTATACGTATATTGACTTCAAAAACAGGAATGGATAAATTTTCACGTTATCGTCGATTCGACATAACAATGGAAATCGAGTTGAGTCGGTTATGTAAATACTGCATACATGCAAATACTGAACCATCCAAATATTCTTTTGTAATATTCAATTTTCAATAGTGCATAGGGTAACTCCGGCAAATACGCCACGCTGGGATTTACATCGTAGAAGTCAGAAAAAATAGAAGGAGTGGGGATAATTTTTCCGCAACTACTCTGTTACATGCCTTTATGTTATATTAGTATTGTGTTATGATTTCAGTTTCTTATTGTTAATATAAATGAAATTATTATATGTAAGTTCAATCGATTTTTGTCACTGTAATAAGTAACGCCATCATAAATTAAAGTCTATAAAATGTAACATAAAATGATTACTGTAGAGTGTGTAAAAGACTGGTTATTTCGTGATATATATGTGTAATGGAATAGCAAAGCATGTTGTATAGCAAAATATAAGTGCTTTCGTATTCTTTGTTTAGTTTGTTGTCTTGTATATCCCACCTGTTTGAGATATACAATTTTTGGCGAGTGGGATTTATACCCAAACATATAAAAGTGTCCAGATTGTATTCAGTGCACTAAATGCAATAAACGCATTATATGAAATATGTACCTCATGTTACCTTATGATATACTTGTAATATATGTAGGAAGATTGTAATTATTACTTATTACTTCATATATTTACCATTCTTATTCCTTAATAAACTTTATAAACACATTTTAAGTTATTGTATCATTTAAGTCTTATTTATATGCATTATTTGTAAATTTTTCATGAGTTATACATATCCCCCCCCCCTCCCTCTATGAGTAACCATATATCTCACCCCTATGGAATATACAATAAAAATGCAAGGGTTTCAAAAAGTTTATTTTTTAATATGAAAAATAAATATTTCGGATTTCTGATATTTTTTTTATAATAGTAGACAGTACAAAATTTTTTTGATATAATATCGTTTACTTTAAACATAGTAAATAATACTTAATAAATTAAGTTTTTTAATAAGTGCGGCGTATATACCGTAGTTATCCTATATTTTTCATAGTTTGGAATCTTTGTATTGTTTGCATGATTTAAACATACGATTGCACTTTTAATATTTTTATAAATTTTGAAAAATGTGATTTCTCGAAAAACGCGTTATTAAGATAAATTATTACAAGATGAGATGTACTGTAGTTATCTTATGTTTGAATGAAAAGCGTAATAATTACGACAATGAAAAATTTTAAAGCCCATTATCCTGCTTTTAAAGGTGAGTTTTGCAGCTTCTTTGCGTCTGATAAAAAAAGCTGCGTAGTAAACTCTGTTATAACATGAAACATTTTTAAATATTAAACTTAATTATTTCCCAGTTAATCCGCAATGTACTACTCTGATTATTCTTGAATTTATATCGCATTTAAAAAATCTATAATGTACATAACGTGTATTATAATATTTTCGTATGTGATATTTTTCGTGAATAAAGCCTGTATATGTAATTTTTCACAAGTGCATATTGAAAAAATCTTATAATAACTAAATGTTAAGTACTATCAATTAAATATTCGAGTAATATATACGATAAAAAATAATTTGGTTTTTCTAGATATTTAGTAAATATTACCAAGCATGATAATATAATCATTTGGTAATACTTACTAAATATTTAGAAAAGTAAAATTATTTACTATTAAGTTAAAATAGATATATACGATTAAACACACAAAGTGAAAAACGCCATATTCACTTCTTCGTACTTGATAATATTTTTTGTGAATGTATATAATTTCCAGTTTCCAAATTTTTAAATTATACACAACTATATTTCAAGAAAAAAATTTTGGCGTACGGTTTGCAAAATTGGATATGTACATAAATTCACACCGAAATATTGAAGTGTAAGATCCGTTTTGATTAAAAATATTAAATAATAGGATTTTTCTTACTTAATTAGTAAAATTATTTTCGGTTATTACCTGAACGTTTTATTCAAATTATTTTATTTAACATTTGGTGTTATTATCAGATCTTTTTTTCAGTGCATAAAATTCACTATAAATTTATATTTATATATCACGCATGCACAACAAAAACGAATATCAGATAGAAGAATAGGTTCCACTAATAAAGACGACGTTCATCCTGCCAAGTAAATTTAAAAAAAAATTGAAATTAAAGAATAGATACTCTAATGAGACTCCGATATTTTTCTGAAGTTAGCTCCGAAATCATAGTCCCCAAATTCTAATTAGAGTTTTAGCTTGTTATTATAAAGAGTGTAGAGATTATCTTATGCTTGTTTCTAGCAATGTAATTTAATTTTAATCTCGGTTCAACTGACTCTTCATCTATTTTTAGTTTTAAGAATTCTAGTTCTAGAAACGTACGTTACGTTTTTAAAATCCAGCAATTAGTACTATTAAAATAACAATTAAAAAATTTAGGACTAACTCCACACCTCACTTTTCTCACGGTGCATCGTGATCGTTCGAAGAGAACAAAAAATCCGACGATGATCCAGCGACGTATCGTGCAACACGGTTTTAGCGATCGCATGCTATTTCGCTCGAAAAGAACGAACGTGTATGGAGACACACACGCGACGACGGGCGGGCTCCTCGTGAAAGGATGATGATTCACGAGAGACGCGCACGCACAAGAACAAACGTATACATATACGCCACGCACACAAAATTCACGAGCAGGTCACGTCTTGCGCGCCCATCTCTTGCAAGCCGACGGATTATGTGTACCGGAATAGCATAACGGTAGAATTTCTGATATACAATAAGCCATCGCTTAAGCATTAAGCTTTAAGCCGTAAGAAATTGATCAGTCACAGTTAAATATAATACAATAGTAATGACTGTGATTGGTCAATTTTTTATGACTTAAGACTTAAATAAAAGCTTGGTTAGTAGAAACAACTCGTTGTACAAAGGCCAATGGAGACTGGAGACACTCACCACTCTCGATGTATGGGACCAGCAGCAGCAGCAGCAGGAAGAGAACGTATCCGCACGTGTCACTGATCATCGTAATACAATATTCCCCGCTGCAGTCGGGATACGCGCCGCGCTGGGATACCTGGCGTCGGTCTCCGCTGCACCACCGCCTCCTCCTCACCCTGTGCGGAGGACAGGAACACAAACAAAACAGAAAGCCCGACTCCGGAGGTAGGCGCGACGCGACGCCAGCAACAGGGTTGACCGCGACAGGGGGCGACGGAGAAAGAACGCCGTTTAGCGCCTCCTCTCTATCTCTATCTCTCTCTATCTCTTTCTCTCTCTATTTCTTTCTCTCTCTCTATCTCTCTCTCTTTCGCACTCCTTCTCGCCCTCCAGCAGCACTGCACACAACACCGAAGACTCGTCTCGATCACCACGACAACAACGACGACGATGACGATGATGATGATGAGTTACTCGGCGCTCCGCTCCGCGATGAGATAATCTATGTATGTGGGCGACGGCGACGGCGACGGCGACGGCGACGGCGAGGACGACGCGGATGATCGGCTGCGCTCTCGATACGGCCACCGCCACGACGCGAATATGAACGCGGCGCGCGTCTCTTTCTCTTTCTCTCTCTTCTTCCCTCGTTGTTACCGTTCTCTCCTTCTCCTCCTCTTTCTGCTCGTTCACCTCTCGTGACTTACACACTCTCTCTTTCTCTCTCGTTTCCGGAGCGCGGTCCGAGGTCTACGCCATTATTTTCCCGTCGGGAATCGCGCCTCGCACGCGGACACCGCACGATTGAGTGTCGACCGACGCAACTCGCGCACACGCACGACACCGATACGAATTCGGTCCGCCCCTCGTAGAGGACTGACTTCCGCGACTAACTTCACGCGCGTCGCTCACTTGCTCGCTCGCTCATTTACTCGCCGTTCCGTCTCGCCTCCTCTTCTCGCTTTCCCCACGGCTTTGCGGTGCGTTCGGCCGTTCCGCGTCGATGACAAGCCCGTGCTGGCTCGCAAACAGCTGACGGCGGGGATCCCCTGCTGCCGTTTACTTCACGCACGACGCGACAAGGACGACGACAACGGCCACTCGATATTTAACGAACGCATATCGCAACAGCAACAAAACATGTACACACACATACACACGCTCACGGGGACTGGAGGGAAGTCGTGCGCGCGCGAACAGTCGCCACCGTCGCCACTGACACAGTCCTACCACCTTCGACCTCCCTGACTGCGACCAGCTGCAACGTCCGTACGCGATGCGAACGAACCGCCTGACTGTCTCCGGGCGCCCGAGAAACGACGCCGCGAGATGGCGCCAGCTACCGCACGGCGCAGCCGCCATCACGCTTTCCAACGTGACGTCACCCGGCATTGACGCGGCGCAACGTAACGCTCGTGACTGCCTTCACGTCGCTCGATCTGATCTCGCCCCCGCATGTTTATTTACATGTGTTAGATTGCATCCGAAAACGTCACCCTTGGTGACCCCATGTATTATCTTATCTTTGCTGAGGCAATTATTTTTCAAGCAGTAAAATTATTCGCAGATTTAAAATTCTCATTAACATCTGATTATTAATATTCTCCATTTTAAGATGCTTAATTAGCATGAAAAATTAACTATTAAATTGCTTGTCAATTTAATAAGATGTTTATTACTTCGGTTTTGCTCAAGATTGAGAAATATTTCGACGTGTAATTTGCTAAATTAAATATGTATCATAAAAGTTCATACAGAAAACTTAAGCACTATATACAAGATCTGCTTTAATCCGCGAAAATAAGAATATTTTTTTAAAAGCGAAGTTAACTCAAATTTTACACAGACTTTCGTAATGATGAGATACATGCATGTTTTATTTGCAATTAAATTATTATCCATAATTCTTTGTCAATTTCAAGTTCAATAAATTTTAATTTGACATTTTTATTTCATATTCTTTTAATCTTAGAGTTCTTTATCTTTTTTTATTGTACAACGAGCTGGTGGCATAAATCACAGACTGCAATGTCATCAAAATTGTTATTTGCAAGGCAATTAAATTTTCATTATATACAAGCGATAAAGAAAATTCTCTTTTATTACAGAGAAATGATACTTACGACATAATATTTAAGACAACTTATTTATTTATTTAATGAATAAATTGACTCGTGTTTCTTTTTTTGCGGTTAGCCCTTAATTGGTGGAATTAATCTCAATATATGTTAATAGACGTCTCTTCTCGCGGCAAAGTTCTTAGCAATGAATTAAGACACTGACAGTTTTGGTTAAACACAGAAATTTCACTAATTAATTCTAACATTTCAATATGACGAAATACAAAGGGATCACGCCAATTTCATTTTTATTATTAAGAAGTAAAAACCATTATTTTGGAATGAAATAGACATATTAATATAATTTCGTTTGTTCATTTTTATTCAAAAGTGCGATATGTTAATCTTAATGAATATAACCTTTCTATCTATGGCTCGACAATTAAATTAGTTAGAGAGTTAATAAAGTTGAACTAAAAAAAAGTTGAAAATTGCATATTTATCTACATTATATTCTCTATCTCTTTCTCTCCGAAGGCCCAACGATTGGAAGAAATAATTTATTAGATGTAAATTGGGAGCAGTAATTTATATAAAGAAAAGCCACTTATCTATTATTAATCTTTTAAATCCTTAACGAATGGAACCCAAAAAAATCCGTTTGGATGAAAATGTGTTCTATAGCGAATTCGGATGAATCTGTAAATACAGATCGATCTTCACACATCACCTGGTATAACGATCATTCATCACGACGTCCTAAGAAACAAATATCTGCTTCGAAAAATGCACAAATGAAATACAAAACGCATTTATCGCAAAATGCTGCGTATTCCTCAACGTATGGATCTAGTAGTAAGCAACGTATATATTCAACTCTTTGAATCAGCCTGAAAAATAACTCCATTTCCTTGGTATGTTCCTACTTCATTTTCGTTTTCAATTCTTCATGCTGCGAGTATCGTTTCTCTTTTTGTAATAAAAATCCAAAATACATCAAAAACAATACAGTAATATACATGTCGGGACATGTGAAAACAAATAAGTGGTTTAATATTTAATTTGAAAATTAAATACTCTCAAGAAACTCTCAGGGTATAATTGTCATTCCATTTATATTAATCCTCTGAAGCTGATGGTGAACTTATTACATCCATTTTCAAAATTATATTTTGTAGCATATTTATATATAATATCTGCAAATTTGAAGTATTTTTAGTGTGAGACTTTTACATTTTTACAGTAAAAAAAAAACTTTTGCGTGAAAAAGAGTAATATTTTCGAAATCAATAATTTTAGACGTCCGTTAGGTTCCTCTTTTATTTTCGTGGAGTAATAATTAATGTTCTTCTATAAATATTGTGAAGTAATAAATGTAATAATTGATTTTTCTTTCCAAAAGTCATATTTTTCAGAAACGAAATTATCTCAAATTAAAAATAGATTTAGATATCAAAGATCTACTTTAATTAAATATCGCTTTTCTTGTTTATTTAAACAAACTTATTGTTAGTATTCTTTTTTATATAAGTTCAATTATTTTGGGTTCTTTAAATTAATTAGTGCAGCCTTTTAACCAATATAAAGTAAATCGGTCTCACAAACTTAATTTAATTGTGTTATAGATTTTAACGTCAGCTTTGGAGGATTAATATCTTTTACTTACATATACATAATTATCGCATTCTGCTACCATTATCAGATCAAGATATCAATTCTTGAATTGAATTCACAGCGACGCCATCAGATCAGCCCATCGCTAATCGTGAATGGCGTGTCTACAATTCGAAGGAAGATCAGCGAGACATAACGAGAAATCCCGAGGAAACGGAGCAAACACATAAAAGCGTTGATACTCGCGACATCAATTTGCCACGTAGACACCGATCGAAATCCTGCGTTAAACTACGTTTATGGTGTCTGAGATTGTGCCGGGCAAAGAAAAGATGCTCCCAACATGTTTTGAGAAAGCCGAGACAGGTTCTCAAACGAATAAAGACACGAAGTAAGGAGAAGTGCGAGAAGTCTGACGATGTGGTGGCGGTCGCCGGTGTATCAACTATGCCGCATCGAGAATCGATAAGATATCAAGACGTCCCGAAGAAGTCTAGGAGAACTCGTAAACAAGACGAGGCGGTAGAGATTGCAGACAAGGATGTCTCTAAGGACATCATCAAGGAAGAAAGAAAGGAGAGAAAAAAAAGGGAGAAAGAAGAGAGGAGAAAGAAAGTAAAGACAGACGAGGAGAGGAGAAGGAAAATAATAACGGAGGAGGAGGAAAGGAAAGTGAACCATAAACTCAATAAGCATATCCCGCCGCCCGTGGACACACGTCTGGTGACGCACGACGACGACCTCGTCGTCGAGAAACGAGTTCCCATGAAACCGCCATTGATCGCGGACGACTTCACGAAGAGCTGCTGCTACTTGTGCGCCCAGAACACGCTGGCGATCGCGGCCGCCATGGCAATCTCCAAGCCGAAGTCTGACAAGTGCGTCCAAGTTTTGGGTCATAAATTTCACGTAGAGACGTCCCCGGCGCTCGATAAGAGCTGCAGCCCATTGCTACTGGTGCACACCGTGCAGTCGTCCGTCAAAGTGAAGACACGGGAGACCAGCACACTCTGCCCCGGCATGAGCGCGGTGCCGCGTGCGAAAAAGCACAAGAAGTTTGCCATGTTTCCGGGGTTGACGCGAACGAAGTGCCCGGCGGGACGGCATGCCGCCTGCGAGACTGATAAGTCGACCGCCAGGCGCAACGATAATGCGGAAAAACGTCAGCCAACGAACGAGAGGTGCTGCGGGAAGAAGAACGCCTGACACGTCGCGAATTTCCCCGAACTTGCTCGGACTAATTAACGTTTGATTACTCAGCGGAAAGAATAATTATATGCATCGTGAACCCATTAACGCTAGAAGTACCAACGTTTCTTACTTGATGAAACTCGGTTTTTCATTTTCTGAGCAACTTGTGATTAAGTTTATGCCCATTTTCACCAATATAGATTAACTTTAATCTCGATTCAACTTAATCTTCATCTTTTTCCAGTTCTAAAAATTAAAAAAGAATGAAGAATAAGTTGAACCGAGGTTCAAAGTTAATCTACATTGATGGAAATGGGCAATTTTGTCAGAACAAGAGTGAAAAAGAAGAGTACATGTATTGTCTTCTTTTATAAATGCTATCTCATTCTAACTGAAGTTGACAAAAATAACGGGTCAATTAAAAATTTGTCATCTTATAGTCAGATTCTGTTAGAGCCTTCATAGTTTTCTAATTCGTAAAATTAGAAAAATATGACTTAGTTGAATCAAAATTAAATTAAACTACCTTGGTAGAAACGAGCATACAAATTAAGTCTGAAGTCATATAAATGATTGAAAAGCATTGGCAATAGAAACAGGAAACAACAGATTTCAATCTGTCAGAAACTATGTATACGAAAATACATAGTTTTTAATAGGTTGAAATTTGTTATTCCCTGTTCCTATTGTTTTTCAATTGTATCTCAGGCTTAAACCTCAAATTAACTAGAAAATGAAAAATCTTAAGAATCATAAGTTACCATAAAAATGAAGAAAGTAATAAAATATCAAATATTTCATCAATATAAAGAACTAATTATTCAAAAGTCAAAAAATTTCAGAATTCTTTTACACAAAAAAATAATATTAATCTAAAAAGTTAAAACTGTCAATAATGACCGTTTAGTATTTCTAGTGTTAACTTTCCATTATATTACTCCATTTTTACGCTTAAGCTCACGGCTACATCAGACCTTGTAACTATTCCTGCATTTTTTCCATCAGATTTTGTTCCTTCGCACTTGTGCAAGATTTAAGCAAAAGTAACTCGTCGTGTATTACTTCGTCAAAGAGAAAGAAGGCTTTCGATAGAATATAATTTATTGATGCAGCGAAACTACTTATTCATAGGGGCTTTCCTCTCGATACTATTTTACGTTTTTATCCTTGTGCATTTGATAATTCACAATATGCCTCTTTCATTTTTAAGTTACATTGCTGCAGCTCTCCAATAAACTTTACTTAGAGATGCGCGACCCTAACTCGAGTGTATATTTGAATTGCACGGTGCATACGAATCACTTCGATAACACATGTAATGCTCTGCGGCTTAGCCCGTATCTGCTCGTCGATAAATTATACCCTGCCGCGTAAGCTTTGTTCCATTTGCGCGCGTGTAAGCGGAAAACGCTAAATTATGTATAATAATTCGAATCAGAATCTTACGTACATATAATTATTTCATTGAGCACAGTCTCCTTATCCTCCTTCTATCCTTCGTGATACTTCGTCATGTAATTTGATAGACGATAAGAAATTTCTTAGCTCTTTATCTCGCTCTTTATTAAAGACGATGAGGTACATTTTTTTCGCGCACCTTAAATCCTTCAATTAAACTGCTTCTTTGTGCCTTGTTTCATAAATTCTTCGAGGATGAGCACGGCTTTTCTTAACGGCCGCTTGGAAGAGAAAAAAAAAAGTGAAACGTTGGGCACTTCGTCTGTATCAACGTCATTTCCATAGCATTTCCATATTACTTTTCATGTATTCCCTACATAGTAGATTTTCATACAGCCGTTTGTATCGCTTCCACGTCACTTGCACATGACTGCCGCTTGGATGGAATCTCGTCTCGCCGGAAACGTGTAAAGTCGTAAGTAAATTCGAAGTAAAATAAATTCAGAGCAAATAAATTCGTCTATCTCTTTCACACATTTTTCCGTATGCGTTACATAAATCCGTAATCGTCACGTTTTATATAAAATGAAATTGATTTAAAATAACATATCGTACGTAATTTGAAATTATTGCTTATCTCCTACGTCATCAGAATGCAATCTTGTTCTGTTACTGAAAAACATTATGAGTAAATTCAGTCATCTATTTTTTATATCCTCGTAGATGTTACATAAATCTACAATTATCATTTTATATACAACAAAAGTAATCGATCTAGAGAATAACTGATTTGAATAAATCACCTATGCAATTTTTATTCAAATATACTCTCTAAATCTCATGGAGTGAAATCTCACTTGAAGAGATTGAAAATTTAGCCTGTCTTGAAAAAAGAGTGAAAATATGATCAAAAGTCTTGTTCAAAAGTGGCAGATTTTCATTCTTTTTAAAATGGGATTTACTCCTTTGGAATGATATTTACTCCAAAAAAATCTCAATCGTTTTTTTAGAGTGTAATACTAGGATAGATGATGGAACTCACTCCAAAAAAGAGATTGAGATTTTATTCCTTCGGAGTAAATCTCATTTCAAAAGAGTAAATCTCACTTTAAAAAGAGTGAAACTCTTGAACAAAAGTAGCCGTATTTTCATTCTCTTTTCAAGATAGGCTAAATTTTCAGTCTCTTCGAGTGAGATTTCACTCCAGGAGATTCAGAGAGTAATCTTGCTTCGCTACTGCAGAAAATCACGAATGATTTCAGAACATGTCTTGATCCGAAATTTTTGCACACTTGTAACGTAAATATATAATCATCATTTATGTATAACAAAGTTTCAATAATATCGAGAAATCTTAAAGAAAGAAGTCACTTTGCAGTTCATACACTTTTACAATACAGATTTCTTACAATTATATCAATTATATCAACGGTGTCTAAATTTCAAATGAGAATATGAGGTAGCATAAATAAACAAAAAAGGAAGAACAATACCGAGAACTTTGCAGTAGCCAACGGAAGGTCTTATTGCACTTCGCAATCGTCCGGCCGACGATCGACCAAGTAGTTCGAGTCTGTATTACGTCAGACCGTATCCGAAGACGATACAGCGGATCGGGTCGGCAAGCTAGAATTCGCGTCGTCCGACAAAGGGGTGCCAAACATCAAAGGCGCCGCATAGTATGGAAGAAGAGGATACTGAGTGGTCGGGAAATACGTCGGTGGAAACAGTCCTTGCCTTTGCGCGATCTTCAACCTGGACGTGAGCTGCTTCTTCCACTTCGTGCGGCGATTCTGGAACCACGTCTTGATCTGCACCTCGGTGAGATTCAAACACTTGGACAACTCCATTCGCTTGCTCACGCTGAGATATTTGTCAATCTACGGACCAAAAATGTATGGAAAGAAATGTCGTCAAATGAATTAGTCGCATGAACAATAGGAATTAGGGAAACCGCAAATCATACCTTAAACTCCGCTTCAAGTCTCTCCAGCTGTTTTGCACTGTAAGCTTGACGTGGTTTCCGATCGATACCTGGTTTTCTCGATCTTCTACCACTCGGTTTAGGTGCTATAAAAATAATCAGTCCTTATCTCATCGTACTAGCAATTACTGAATGACCCCTTTTACACCGAGCGTTTTATACGCATATTAATTAATAACTCTCTATTAAATTCTCTCAATTTCAACAATGTATTTAAAGAATATATTAAATTAATACAATATGCATCAAAATAATTAACTAAATATTCATATCACGTATAAGTTTACGTATCGCCGAAATTAAGATAATTCAATAAAAAGTTACTAGTTATATAGTACTCGTATAAATTAAATACGCACGATATAAATTAAACCAATATCGCCTCGCAGAACATAAGCTAAATAATACAACATCAATATATAATTTTTTACTCAACAATGTAACTATTGAAATCATATTACATATTTCCGGAAAAAAATGTTTCATGTATAATTGTATATAATTATATAAAAATATATGTAATTATATATATTATATAATTATGTAAGCAATTGACATATTTATATACAATTATATATAAAATATGTCCATATATATATAATATTTTTTCCCGGGATTTATATTGTTTGAATGAAAATTATAATTGATGTAAAGTTATTGTCAATTTATGTTCTACGTAATCGCGGAATCGATCGATTTTAGTCATTGCTAATTACATGAAAGTCTCTTAAGTCCTTTGACAGTTTCTGACATTTTCGGAGATTTATTGTTGCGATAATCAAAATTTAATATTCTAATCGCGCGTCTTAATTGCACGACTAACTCCGCCAGCTCGTGCTCAATTATCACTTCAGGATTTCGAGGCACCATCCGTCTAGGATCACCGAACATCTCTGAGACGTATAGGACTGTTTGCAGAATGTGTGACATCCTACAGTCAATATCATCGAGGCGAAGTAGTAACAAGTTGTGCAAACAGTTTATGACGGAGAACGTTTGGATGCGATTATCATCGTAGTGCAAAGAAGTACTACACATTTCCTTTGAAAAGCATATACAAGACATTATAACGTAATTAGTTGTACTAAAATAATAGGATGATTGTTAACCACGTTGGCAAATATCCACGAATAATTTGTGCTAGAAATAAATATTAAAGCTCGATGCAGCATTTTAAAATAACAACTATTCTGGTATTATTGTATCTGAACTAAGCAAATATACAATTCTTTTCTACTTTATTTTCAAATTTAAAATTATATTACAAGAATATTATTTAATCTGCTAAATATCATTAAAACAAAAGAGAGAATCCACAATTATTTACATTATATTATTTTAGAATAATTTTTGATTGAATTTTTGACTCCTATAATTTCATAATTTTTTTTATTTCTATAATATTCTTATAATTTATATACTTACAAACGTATAAGAAAGAATATAATTAATTTAGAAACACTGCATCGTAAATATGAGAATGTTAAAATGGTTTACAAATTGTTTATAACAGAATAATTTTTTTCTCATTAACAATCTGTTCAAATTCTGAAAATAGCATAAATGCGTGATAAAGTATGCGAGAAACGGGATACCCAAGCCAAGATTGCGATGTTTTTACATAGAAATAGGAATTTCTTTTTGCTCCCTTCTTGTGTTTAATCACCAGTTAGCCGAACAGCCCTTATACGACAAGTCAACAAATAGATGTCGCGTATTTGTACAAGACCTTTACATTTTTACCTTTCCAACGTTTCTACAACTACAGGGAAATTAAGTTAACAGTTAAGTTTTATTACGGAGAACAGTTTTTATCTTACGGAGAACAGTTAGCATATTTATACTAAATTTATATAAAAAAATTTACCTCAGATAATTTTAGATAAATTGTATTTTAAGCGAAAAAAATCGGACTTCATTTGCACATTTTAAAAACATCTCACTGTTTTTTAACCTTAAGTTACACTTCAGTGTTCTTTTTCAATTCAAAAAAGATCTAACTATCTAAAGTATACCGACTCACTTAATTTATAACGTTGTGTTAACTATTATGCAAATTCGAAACTTGCAGCAGGTTTTAGAGATTTTAAATGTTTCAATACACGTAATTCCTTATGTTTAATAGGAAACTTGCAGTGTAATGTATACCTTGCAAATAATGTTCAAGAAATGCTTTGTTTTTTTATAACAGCTATAATATCTGTTTATCTAACATTTTTCCAGCAGCAGAAAACACGTCTATTAAACACGTGATACGTTTATTAAATACGAGAAATTTAGTTGAATTTAATTCCTAAAAAATTGAATGTTATTTTATTGCGTGATCTATATTAAACTATGCGGGACAGTAAGTTTGATTATAAATATAATAAACACAATCGATGAGATGATCTCGTTCTCAGAAATGAAAGACTGCTGATGACCGGAAAGAAGAATACGCACGGTGACGAAGAAGAAGAACCGGCGGGACCAAGATTTACGAGTGTACAGAGACATTTAACACCTTCGTGGAAGATAGTTAGACCAACGGTGCTGATAAATGGGCTTCTAACAGTATGGCGGATAGTAGCCGAAAAGGGAGAAACAACACTATAGCGGATTTTAATCTTATCGCAGAATCATGAAATATTCGGGATTTTAACTAACAATTGCCGCACGCAAAGAATTTTGCTGAAATATCTAAAAATATAGTTAGGTACAGATCCAAAAATAATTTTGTTAGACTATTAAAATAATTATATAGGATGCTCAAAGTAGTTGTTAAAATGTCAAAACTTTTTGCAGCATTGTTTGTCATGTTTGAGTTTCACATAATTATTTTCAGATCGATCTAGTTAAATTTTTGTTTCAACAAAATTCTTTTCCTACATATAAAATGGCAATTTTTCTACAGCTTTATATAGATTATTATAGATTTAACAAAGTTGTGTGGCAAATCTATAATATTATATAATTATATTACTTATATTAAATAAATCAGAATTTAAAAGAGTGATAGAAATTTTCAATAGAATGATAAAATTCTGAATTTTACGTAGAGTTGAGTGCTAGAAAAAATACAATACCATAAAATTTGATTAATGTGCGATTTTTACGCGGTTAAATATTAATATTTCGCTAGTAGCATGTCAAAAACAAGGAAATTCAACAACTGGGCCACTGATGTGTGCCTCGCGTGTCGAAAAGCTGTTATCGCAGGCGCCTCGTATAATATCCAATATTCGTTGAGGCCGAGAAAGAGGGTACCCATCTCACACCTCTCTCGGTATTGTGCGCGGAAATAGAATTACGGTGGTAAGTTATTACGAGTGGATAATAATTAGAGTCCTTTGTCGTCGCGATTCTCCGAAAGCGTTAGTGCCTCAGACACGAAGAAGCTTTCTAGCATCGCGAAGATTTTTCCATCATACTTATTGTATATTTTTGTAATTAATTGATAGCATTGAATACTTTCAAAATCAGGCAGATTTGATATAATAGATTTTATTTCTAATGCATTGAATTTTTCGAGAGATAAATTCTATTTAAAGAAAAACTGTCTATTTTCAGACAAGATTATGACGAATAGATTCGATATACTTTGATAGAAACTAAATTAGGCTCTAATAGTCTGATCTTACCTTGTAAACCAAACAGCTGCCCAGGCTTTGTTTGAGCAAACCAGCTACTATATAGTAATGAAGCTGATGCGAGTGATGTTGCAGAATATGCCGAGGGATCAGATAGTGCACCTTCGGAGTACGGCAATCCCGCATGAGTATACAAACTCCCTTCTATATCTATTAAATTATATTGCATTGTATTTATTAAATCGTACAATCTTTTCTTATAAATATTTGAAAAGCTTCCGTGTATATCTTAAAGAATTCTTTATTGTCAACATTTTAAGACAATATACAATGGCCAGTATTCATACTTAATTTTTATATGCAAGACTGTAATTGGCTATGTATAATAATTGACTTATGACATCTTAAGAAGTATTTTAATTAAGATATTATTTAGGATAATCTTAAAATAAAAACCGATTAATGTAATTTATATCTACATAAATATTTTATTTGTCTATGGATTTGTGGGAATTTATTTTATGGTATGTTTTATTATATTCTTCTAAATTAAAACTTTAGATAGAACTTTAAAAGTATCGAATATTCTTCGTTAATATTAAAATTATTTTAATTCTTTATACAAAATTTTATTTTTTTATACAAAAATTTTTTTGTATAATAATCTAATTTTCTGAACATGTTTTACATACCAGAACGTGTAGCTGGTATTGCTGTTGGCTTGACAAAGTGTCCCTCTATCCTGTCATCCGTATCATCTTGATCTTCCTCTTTATCACCGGAATTATTTATTCTCGAAATTTCTCTTTTCTCATTTCTCCCGAGAATATTGTCGATAGTGAAAGCACTGGACGCTGCAATTGGGGATGAATTTCTTCTTTCGATCTGTTGTTTCTGAAATTCCCTATAACCCTCGCAGCTGGAATCGGATGCATACTCGATAGACTCTCGATTGACAGTCGGTGATATGCAGCCTCTCTCGATGTTGTTTGAAAAAGCTTCGCTCTCACTCGGAAGTGATCGTGTCCGGCGAAGATCATAAACGGCATCGTTCATTTTCTCGCGGTTTTGATAGAGTTCCATCTTGTGAAAAATCATCGAGCTCTATTACAATAGACGATTTTGATTTCACTCGGACGACGGCATGCGTTCCAATAATTTAAATTCACGCACTTTACATTTAATAACGAAGTAATCCAATGATTTTTTCACGTTTCTTTCTTCTTTGAATTTCACAGTTATTAATATAAATTATTTAGACAGGTTTTTGACTCAATTACAGTCTGCTGTATCATTATTTATCGTCGCGTATTGCAATCCAATGATTTTTTAATTGATGAAATATTTTGTACAGCAAAAAATATCTATGAGAGTCAGCTGTAAGCGTTTAACACACGTTTCTTCTTTGATCGATCACACCTAATCTCGTACTAATCTCCCTTCGAACCGTCCGAAAGCAAGTACTTCCGAAAGTATGACAAGTGGCACGTGTCTATGGTCCAGAGAAGGATCTCCCAACATCCCCACCAACTTCCCACAGGAAGGTCATCCCGTGAGGTTGGAAGAATATCTCGCACCTCGGAAAACCCCCACTTATCCGATATCTTTCTGATCGGAGTAGGGATCGCAGGATCGCGGCGGTTTATAGCAGATTTCCTATTTTAGAACTGATAGCTTTCTAATCACATCATTTATGAAATATTTTGCCTTTCTTTTTATGCAACTGAGTGATCCGTGAAATTCATTATAAATACGACTTAATATATAATGGTATCTTTATTAACAAATATGTATCAATATATTAAGAATTAAATACACGAATTATATTTGCGGGATTTAAATTTTAATATCAATTGTCTGATGTGATTATTTATGGTCTTCATTAAAATTATACATGTAAAATCGAAAGCTTACATTTTTTAAGTTTTAAATTCCCACAAATCCATAGACAAATAAAATATTTATGTAGATATAAATTACATTAATCGGTTTTTATTTTAAGATTATCCTAAATAATATCTTAATTAAAATACTTCTTAAGATGTCATAAGTCAATTATTATACATAGCCAATTACAGTCTTGCATATAAAAATTAAGTATGAATACTGGCCATTGTATATTGTCTTAAAACTTAAAAAATACATTAAATATATATTTTTTATTTACACATATATACGATATATTATAAAAAAAAGTCTGTTACTTCTTTAATCAATCTCATTTCTGTTTCATTTCTGTTTCATTTCTGTTTCATTACTGTTTCTATTAAGACATCGTGTTTTCTATCGATACGATCGGTACAGGATAATTTTATAAATTCATACGATGGATCTCCTATACTCCTATTTTATCGAGGCATTCACGCGTTTTATGGTTCTTTCCAAAAAAAGTGCTTGAGCTCGACGATTCGGCTTGCGCACTAGCGAATTTTGCCACAGCGAAAAAGGGCTCATCTGGGATCAAAAGGTGGATCTCCGATTGGTCCCAAATGCGCAGGATGCTCGCGCAGCAACCGCCTTCTTTGACCCCTCTATCTCGAAACTTTATGCCGGTAAAACGATGGTCGCTTCTCTCTTTCCCGTTCGCGCTTTAGCAATGGATAAACGCTTCTGCCACGTGAAGAACATCATGAAAAAGTACCGCAAAACACTTCTTCACGCGTTTAGCGAACTAAGCACAGTGGTTCTCACTGTACTTCAGAAATGTTATATTTCTTTATTATATCTTGACAGTTGTATTTCGTGAATAAACTTTACAATTTATCGAGTAGCGATATTCAACAAGTCAGCGTTATAATATCCAAATTTTTGCTTGCGCAAAAATCTCAATTAATTTGACAACAATATATTCATATTTGAAAGATTTATAACATAATTTTTAAAAGAAGACAAATCTTTCGACAATAATTTGGAATGAATATTAATTCTAAAAAAAAAGTACTTTTGAAGTTCCGAAATAGAAATACAAACAATATAGCTTGCGTCGCAGTTCCAGATATCAACTTTCACCGTTGATGATAGTCCTTACCGAACCATATCGTGCTATTTCTGTTTACGGGCACGATGTGGCGGCCATTTTCGCGAATGGCGCGTCCATTAGTCTCCGGGCTACCCGTGCCAATCTCAATGTTCATCCTTGCACGCCGTAAATCCACTCGGCTCCACGCTTCCGTGGCTAAAAGGACCAATGGCGATTGTGAGCCCTTTCTACCGCGCGCCGTCATCGATCCTCTCCCCGATCCACGTCTGAGTTATTTCGTCTTTGTAGAAGAGCGTATATCATTCTTTTCATATACATTAGACACCTCAGCACGCAGTGTCGTGTTCTAAAAACGCAGTCATTATTAACCTTTCAATACTCCCACTTAGATTTGGATAACATAACTATTATATTGAAAAAAAGTTTTGATCTCATAATATAAATAATATTATAGTTTATATTAATGTTAATCTACTAACTGAGAGTTGGCTGTACTATTTGGAAGAATTGTTTTTTGTATGAAAGAATACGAGATTTGATTTGAAATGAGCGATGCATCTTTAAAATTTACGTAGAATTTTCTGTAAAATATTAGAATAAGATAATGTAGCAAAAAGGAGACAATTGGTTTGAACTTTTTTTAAACATTATTTCGATATTATCATTGAATCGCTGAAATCTCTTATTGTTGTGTCTGATGAGCTGGTTATTTCTACTTAGACGTGAATTTACATTCACTTGTACACGCTTTTTCGTAAGCTGATTATACACGGGGTTGAACATTTTACACGTACTTGCGACCGCGACAAATATTGAATCTTAAATACATGAAGTGAAATGCGCTTAAGGTGCGTCTTAGGTGCGAAGAGAGGAAGTAACGACATGGTCAACGCACACGTTAATTTATGACCGTGGACATTACTTCCTAGAAACTAACATTTAAGCATTCTTTCCAAATCTTCCATAATACAATAGTTACGTACTTTTTTCTAAAAATTATTTAAACAGTAAATTTAAATTTAAAATTAACGAGGACGCGCGTATTTTTATTAAAAATAAAAATGACTTGTATTTCGTTTGAAATCACGATCCGATTAACATGAATAGCTCTCATCTGACACATTCGAAGCATCAGCATGTGTTTGGATAAAGCGCGATTATTTGCGATTTATTTGCTTCATATGCCATCCACAGTGGCGTTCATCCGTAAATGTTTCGAATAAACGATCCATTTGCTCGCTGTGAAGTTTACTCCCACGTTTGATGCACGCTGCGCCACGTAATTGAAACGATCAATCAAACACCTGAGAAAAGGAGGGTGTGCTCACGCGTGCACAAACCGCAGGTTGCGTTCACGCAAAAGGGGAAGTGCGAACTTCGACTGCTGACAATTAAAGAATCGCTTCCTTCGTGTCCCGTTAAAAACACTTTGTAGCATGCATTGTGTATTTTAAAAGCATTGAACTTAAAGAAAAGAAAGATTAAGACATTATAAATATTTTAATATTTCAATCTATATTTGCTAAAAATCTACTTTCTCGACTTTCTTCCTCTACATTGTGTTACAAGTTTTAATTATAATTTTTGGGCAAAATTTGAAATATTATATTTATAAACAATAAATAAATAAAAATAAAGCTAGATATAATTTTACGTATATTTTTGTCTGATACATCGGTAGTTTTGCGACTACGACACCATTAATAATCGCATGAAAAACGTTTATTTCAAATGATAGGATGAGACGCGAGAGACGCGAGGATTCTTTCGAAACTGCGCGATTAATTTTCAGTAAGCTTGGAGTATAACTGGCCGCTTTTGGTGTGTGTACAGATATAGCCACTCTCGCGAGATATTAGACAGGTGAGCGCGTTCCCAGGGGAACAAAGGCCCCATTACCCTGTCTTACCACCTCGAACCGGGCAGACATCTCGACAGACCCTCCGCTCTTGAAACATTCATAAGAGCGTTGTAAGTGGTTTTTAATAAACGTATTTAATCATGAGTGTCGGATTACGAATTAAATCGGTGGGTGCTGTCACCAATCAAGGGGATTAGTCATGAATCTAAACAAATGTACAACCCGCTTTTTGCAGATATGCGGGTGTTTTGGCTTCCGATCTCTTGATATCGGCGTGGTATCATTTTATTTTACAGCTTTATAACTTTTCTAATAACAATTCGAAATAAAAAAAATTTTAATAATATATTTTTCTGATAATGTCGCTTATTTGTTACAACAGCGACACAATTCAAAAGTTTTTCAGAAAATAAATTTGAATATTATTATAAAATTTTAATGATTCAAATATACAAGGTGTCCGATAAGTTTTGATAAAGCGCTCGTGTATAAATAAAGCGGACCAAACTGAATCAAAAAATCCTCTATCACTTTACAATTTTCGCAATTTTTTTTTTTTTAGTTACCTATAATGATCAGAATATCTAAAATTGACGCATAAAATAATTTTAAGATATCTTCAAAAGTTCTCTAAAAAACATCTTTAAAATATTTCATAACAAACTCTGAAAGAAATCTTAAAGCTGTTTATTCGTTGATTTTACTCCACTTATTCGTCAATCTTTAGAAATGAATATCTCGTTCATTATTACGAAAATTACAAAATGGTAGAAGACTTTTCGACTTAATTTAGTCCGCTCAATCTACATACGAACGCTTTGTCAAAACTTACCGGACATTCTGTATATTTGAATTATTAAGATTTTATAATAATAATTTTAAAATGCAATTTTGATAACTAATTATAGAAAAATAAAGGTTCTATTAAAATATATGTTCTTTCTTTTTCTGTGTTTGCACTCTCTTTTCTTACAGTAACATAACTAAAAAATGACAATTGTTGTCACAATTGTTGAAGCAAATGATCGATTTAATTGTGTTAAATATGTGATTAAATATTTCTTTTCACATAAGTATATATATATATATATAGAGAGAGAGAGTAATATATAATAAGTTATAGTAGAGAGAGTAATATATAATAAGTATATATAATTTAAAGATATAATGTTAATTTATTATTACAATATATAAATCTGTAATATTTAAAATTTTAAATATATTCAATCTTAATATTTTATATATACGTATAATTATTATAAATAGTATTATAGTAGTAATAATAATTATAAATAGTTATTTATTATTAAAAACTTCCTTTTTCTTGACCTTATTAAATATCGTCGTTTTGAAAAATTATTAATATTGTATATATTCAGATAAAAGAGAGAATTCACTACTCTTTTTCAGTGTATTTAAAACTGTTATAACGCAACCTAGGCAGCGTTACGGTTCAAGCAATTATTTCTAGCAGACAAGATTATTACAAGAGCGTGTCGTCTTCTCTTCAGTCACAGTCGTCTCTGCGTTTCAGTGACAGTCTCGTGGCACAACGAGAATGGCACTAGAAAATTTTCCAGAACGCGTTGAAAAACGTTTATTACGAGCTTACAAAATAATATATACTTTGAAAATCTTTTTCATAATTTATACGGTATCGGCGCAAGAATGTTACTACGACGGCAACGAGTTTTGCATCGATCAAAACGACATACTTTCCGTAGATCTTTTACCTGGATCGTTTTTATTTAGTGATCAGTACAAAAACAATGTTCCTAAAACAATGATAAACGAAACTATGGATGGAACTTTTGACAGAGCCTTAAACGAGATGGAATACCATAGGTAACGTCATTATCTAATGGCTTATTATAGAAAACCCATTCTTAAGTCTTTAAAGGGATCCTAAAATCGATTAGTCATAGTGTAAGTAGGACTTACACACAGACGATTTAAATGTCATTGATACATCATTACATACTACTGCATCAATATCTCATATATACATACACATAAATTTTCGTATAACAATAACGTTTCAATTAGACTTATTTTTAATTTTTAACATAAAATATTTTTTTCAAAATAAATATTTCATTAAATTTTTTTCTTAAAATTTAATTTAAAATATTCGAAGAGGACATATTTAAGAGATATATTCTAGTTTTGAAATAACGTTTAAGAAACTTAGATGTTTTAATTAGAGTAAGTCCAATTCTAAGAACTCCACGTTGTTTCTTTGTGCAAACTATTAGTCTGGACTACTATTTCGTAAATACAAACTGCACAGGTTTTATATAAAGCACGACGTGACAGCTCCAAAGCACTATTGGACTAAGAAATGGCAAAAAAGATCTCAATTTCAAAATTTTTTGTCGTTCTTGGCATAAACTCCACTTCACAGATGCGTATTAATGCATGTACTTTAATCATAGACTATATTCGGATTCCCACCCGAGTGTCACCCAAGTATTACTCTAGCTTTATTGTTTATCAAACATTAAACAAGAATGACATAACACCAGGGAGCATCTTGGTGGGAATCTAAATACGCTTTTGAAAAAGGATTTTTGAATCTGTAAAAGAGGGAAAAAGTAATTGTTATACAAAATTATATGGTTTAATCGATAATACAGACAGTTTTAGGATTCCCTTTAGTCATAACAAATTGATTTAATTATAATTGATTATTCCTCTCACATTCGACTGTAATTGATCAATTTCTTATGGCTTAAGACTTAAAGCTTAGGTAATGATTTATTGCAGAAAGCTCATAAGTAGTAACGAATTAATCTGAAAATTTAGATGTACAACGTTGAGATTAAATTAGTCAATATATTAAATTATAGAAAAAGAATGAACGAATATCTTTGTCACGGCTACATAGCGGAAGAAATTTTTAAAGAAGTGAGCACTCCTAGAGTAAAGCGACATCCCGAATCTTTGTCAACCAATTCAAATCACAACTTCTTAAGCGACGACAATGTTACGGTACACGATAAACTTTTGGCGGATGAAGGAAGCATGAAATATAAAAACTGGCTGCAACGGTAAACACGCAAAAACTTTAAAATCATTTATAATTGAAATTATGTTTGTATAACTAATGACATTTATTTGTAACTCTGATAGATTTTATGTTACTGTACAAAATTACTTTTCTACTGAATTTTTGTATTAAAACTTAACTTTATATTTTTCTTTAACAATTTATTTTTAATTTTTAACATAAAATATTTTTTTCAAAATAAATATTTCATTAAACTTTTTTCTTAAAATTTAATTAAAAATATTTGAAGAGAACATATTTAAGAGATATATTCTAGTTCTGAAATAATGTTTATAATTTTACTGTAATGTACTAAAAAAGAGGGAGGGAATGATATAAGATAAAAAAAAATCTTTAATTTTTAACGTATCTATGACAATACAACAGAACGACGACGCTAAACGATATATATCGACACTATGCACCTCATAAAAAAATAATAAAGAAGCAAGATGTTCAGCACGACGATATTGAGGAATTCGATGGTGAGGTGACGGGATACGCGATGCAAGCTCCTCTGCCAGAATCAAATGGAAAAGTGGGCATTTATGATCCGCCTCACGAAGGTAAATTGTAAAAAACAATTACAGAGAACATAATGCATTATGAAAGACTTGGTGAGATGTGATATTTACATATCTTACGAATAGATGACATGCTATCATCATCAACGGGACGTCATTCTTTCCATTACGGATCTTTGTTTGGCCATCATCACGGCGATCACTATGGACATCATGTTGACTTCTTCCCGTCTGCTCACGAAGAATACTATTATGCGCCGCATCATCAAGATCAAGACCATGAAGATCATAAACCCTCTTATTCCAAAGGGAAAAGCAGTGAACTCTCACTCAAGGAATTCTTCGAAATTGCACTCACCGCGCTTGCATTCTTATCATTCGGATTATTCATTATTCAACTTATATGTAATGCTGCGGTATTAAAAAAATTATATTTAAAAATTTATTTATTTATTTAAAAAATTATGTTTAAAAATTTATATTTAAAAAATACGTTCTTATTTTCTAAAATATTTTTTTAAGAATAAGAACAAGAATAAAATATTTAATACAAAAGAAGAGCCATACATATAACTTTGATGAAGAAGTTTGAAAATGTTACATTTTAGGATAATAATAACGGCAGTAGGCGAAAGAAGAGAGCCACGATTTCTCTTTCTTCGTCTCCCATTAGCAACGAGGACTTGAACGAGTTATCCTATCGCGTTTTAAGGTCTATCGAAGCGGCAATGGTTGCCGAAGCAGATTCTGGTAATTGTTTGCGCAGGATACTATGTGAAGATAATCAATACTCCAAAGAAACTAAAGATGATCGCAGAATTTGGATTCCCGTTTGGAGGTAACAGATTTCAACAATTATATAAATACCTTAATAAAGTGATACAACAAAGAAATACAAACTTTTATCGTCTCATGAATCAGTCGACGTAATATCATTAATCATAAATCAAATAATTGTAATTATATCCCAAAATCGATAATATTGACACCCTCTTTTTCAGCTTGGGCATGAGTTGGTTATCGGGCAGAATGCTGTACAGAACTCCATGGTCGGCAATGTTGGATTCTGTGAAAGCATCCGTTCTGGGCTTGGGTGGAATCGATTGCGCCTCTTTCTATCCGGAATGCGATCTCGAGAGTGAAAGGATTAAGAGGCGTCGCAGAAAAAAGAAATAAACGCGATTAAAAAATTCAAAATAAAATTATAAATTAAACAACTCCATGATTAGAGAGATTCATAAACAATATGATTGAGAAATATTTATGAATTGTTTTATTATCGTAATAAATAATAGAAATTATATCATTTATCACTTATTGATATCGCGAATATATTTATCATCGCCATCACGTGAAATTGGTAGAAGCGTTGCATATCTAGATCCACTAGGGCATACATGGAAAACGTTTCTATTACCTCTGTCCTGTAATGGCTGACGATTTGTTAAAATTGGTATTTTATGTTCATCACATAATGTTCGAAACTCTGCAATCTTAAAAAATAAAAACGAGACTATTATGAGATAAAAAATTAACTACATGACAATATTATTTTATTTAATCATTTCTTAAGTTGTTGTTTATTGATAATTCTTATTTCAACATAAATTACTTGATCAATGGATATTCCTAATGGTTCTCTACTTATTAACCAAAGTACACTATTTCTGATATTTGTCAAGGTTACGGAACCCCAGTAAACAAAATAATCACGTTGAAAGCATGGCATAATATTTATTATAGGAAAAGGTATTAAACGGATGGAAGAATTAGCTGCTTGGATAAAAGGTAATGTGTTTATGATATCATCCAGAAGTGGATTAGGGGCTGCCTGCAGCTGTATATAATGTTATTTCTAAAATATATCTATTATTTTCTTAACATTTAAAGACATATTTCTACTCGAATGTTAAAATCACATTTAAATGTATTAAAAAATTGTGCACCAAGAATACTCTAATATAAAACTATTACTTAATAGAATTATAATTTATTTAAAATAAAATACCTGGAATAAGTATACTAATATAGTGACACCATCATGGTGATGAAGAGCAGCTATTTGAGTTCCGTAATCACTCTTATAATGCACTGCATGCAGTTCCATTGGCATACTTTAGAAAAAGTGCGTTTAAATTTAAAAAAAAATAGATAAATATTAGGTGTTGGAATTAATTCGTAGCGTTTTTTAATGAAAGAATGTTATTTATTTCACATGAGCATTAAAAAATACATTAATGAAAGTACTTCCCATCACTTGTAAAACGCTACGAATTAATTCCAACACCTAATAAAATTTATAAAAAAGTAGACAATAAAAATATAAAACCTTCCACCGTCAACATAGTGTTCACTACCGTCCATGTCAGTTTTACCCCAATGAAAATGAAGCTGTGAAAAGACATAACGGCTGACGAAAGGGCCACCATATAAATATGGCTCTTCTTCACGCCATGTTGCACTAAGCATGACTATAAATAATAAATGCAATTATTCTACTACAGTAAACACGTTGGATATGACTCTTGGATACGATTTTTTACCAGTATATCCAGTGTTGCTAAGTTTTAATTTTTTTGGTGTGACATTATAATTGACCCACTGTATAGGATTTAGATTCACGACTTTCATATAACTGATATTCAAATCGATTGGTGATCTTAGCTTGCCATCGGTATGAGCCAAGTACTGTATAAATCTAACCGTTTCTTTGTTGTCTTCATGAGAATCTATGTATTTTTTAATAATTTTATATATATATATATATATATATAAAATTATAAAATTTATATTACATATATATATATATAATTATAAAAAAGTGACATTTAATAGTAAAAATATTTTATGCATATAAAAAATACAACTTTAATATATATATCCCACCTGTCGAAGAATTCATGCTGATATATCATATGATATACATTACTTATAAATTTAAATGTAAATGCTCCATTTTAACATTTCATTAATTTTGCTTCGTCTGAACTTCATTTCAAATATTATTTCGATACTGAGCGTCATCGATAATAGAGCATTTTCCATATTTAAAATAAAAATGTATTTTTTAAGAGAGATCCCAAATTTGTGCTATTTATTTTCTTATATCATTCATTTTTTAATAGATTACTGGCATAAATTAATAATATTAAAACTATTTATTTACATGTGTGTGTGTGTGTGTGTGTGTGTGTGTGTGTGTGTGTGTGTGTGTGTGTGTTGTGTGTGTGCGCGTGGCATGTACCTCTCACCTACTGAAATTAGAAAAGAAATCTTTTTAAAATTAAAACAAGCCTTTCTATATTAAAACTTTCAATTAAATTAAATTTAAATATTAAAATATAAATTTAATTAAATTTAATTAAATTACTTTGATAAATTTTTAAAACTTTTTTTGATAATTTCCTATTAATAACCTTACATATTTAACCTATTTAACGTAACTGTCACAATAAATCGATATATGACATTGAGATAATTAATTAGCATCACGAAAAAAAAGGTAATATTTCCTTCATTTATAAAGAAAAAGGAAGAAGCATGTAATTGTGCAACTATAATTAAAAATAACGGATTTATACATAAAATAAATTTAGATTCTTATTCAAGAGGACTAAGACGTTGAATATAAAAGGTAGACAAAGTATAAAATAATTTTTTAATTCTTTGAAAATGGACTTTGCGCGAAAAATCGGTAAACCTGATAAGCCTCGAACTTGGAAAAAGACTCGTCAACCACTTGTAACAACTAGAGATAACCTTCTCTCTGGAGATACATCATTTTCGGAAGATCACAGCTTCATAAATTGGAAGAAATGGCTCGCCGACCACAAGAAGCAAAATCGTTATATCGAATTTGTTACCGGTCGTTCGCAGGACGAACAGATACAAAATTCCTCGGAAAAGTTTCGCTCTTTCGTTGAAATGAAAAACCTGATGGAACAGGCTATACCCATGATTGATGATAAGTATCGTGGTAGACCGGAATTTTGGAAAACGCCCGAATTCTTGCCAGATCGTGCTTGTCTACCGAAAGTATCCTTGACTCTTAGCAAAAAGGATCTGACTTTTCCTTCGGATTTAATGCATGTTGGAATACCGGACCTAATAGCAAAGGAACGTGATCTCGCCACTCAAAAAAAGGAGAAATTTTGGAAACGCAGCGAATATCTAAAGACGCGTAAACTCGAACTTGATGAAAAAATCGCATCGTTGATGCCTAAGGAGTCGGAAATGGCAACATTGGCTATTCAAGGACATGCAATCACCTATAAAAAAAAGAAACTATCGCTACTACGAATTCCGCCGATAACTATTACAGAATCTGAAGAAGTGCCTCACGAAGACGCTGATCAGGAAGTGATTCTAAAGATTCAAGATCGAGAATTTGTCTGGCAGAAATCTCTCTTCAGAACGAAGTCAGTGGACACTGATCCTATTATTTGGTCTCTGACTTTTACGAGTAAGATCAACGAACAAATCGAAAAAGAGATCATCTTAGAAAATAAAGGAACCCACGTTATAGAATATCATTGGCGATACTCGCCCTTACAAACGTATGGCATGTTCTTCGAGAAGCACGACAGTCAATTCTTCTTCAACAAAACGAAAGGGCTCATACTTCCAGGGCAGATCGTAAAGATCAAGGTATGGTATCGATCCAAAACGTGCGGAGTTTTCATCGAATATTGGCGATTCATCACGGATCCAAAATTAAGTTCCTCGACGTTTATGTTTCGATTCTGGGGCTACACAACCGATACTCAAAATATAAACTTGATCGATCATCAAATGATCGACGAATATCTGAATCGCTGCATTCGAGACTCAACAATACGTTCGATTATTCAGGAAATCTTAGATAGAATGGAGTATAATGAGCTACCAGAGCCCCCTTATAAGATGTTAATTTCACAAAATGACCTATTTGTCTCTATGAATTCCTGTTATCATTATCATCCAAATATCGTAATGCAATTACAGACAATATATTCTGATATAACTGATGAAAGCACATCGATCTGGAACTTGTCGCTGGATTCTCTCCGAGATACCCTTTTACAGATAAAAAATACAAACTACAAACGCGACATGCTTGCCCGATTTAACGAACTTTGCAAGCAGAGTCTCAGACCAAGATTATTTGAATCCGATGTTGAATATTACAATAAGTATGACGCTGTGTATAATATTTTATGCGCATTTGCGAATCTATTTGAAAATGAAAGTGAACTTGTGAAAAGAAACAGTCTAATACGAGAAGAGCCTACAACGCCGATAGAAGTTAAACAGAAATTGACATCTTTGTCTCAAAGATCCAATAACAGTTTGCAAGAACTACGTAGGAAAACATTAAATGATCAACCAGAAACTGTATTAATACAGGAAGAAAATAAAAGTTTTAGTTTAAATTTACAACTTTACAGAGAAATATTTTTTATTCGCATATATAAAGCTTTGGAGGAAGCAATAGAACGAATTTGCGCCAGTATTGACTCTTTCCATAGACTTAATGAGTTAAAGTTTAAAATATAATTATATCTAAACATATCTATTTTCGAACAATAACAATAAACTTCGAAATTTTTAATAATTAATTTATATGAAATGTATACATATTTTGTTATTATATAATGTAAGAGATTATTTTTATTTATGCATGCTGCAAAAATTGGAAAATTATTTTAGATAAGATTTCTGTTAAAATGTTATAAGAAATTAAAAATGTTAAAGATCTGTAGTAGTTTATTAAGTTTAAAGCAATATATAAATTTTTCTTAAGAAACAGCTAAAAATACTTGTTGTCCTCGTAAAGGTTGAACGTTTCTCCAATTCAATTTTATAAATTCACCATCTTTATCCTTTAATTTTCGGAACTCATTAAGCTGGAAGTTTTATTAGTTATATAGTTTATTATATGCGTTTTATCATTATATTTTTTCTATTATAATACCAATGTTCCATAAGTATCAAATAATTGTATCAATAGAGAAATATATAGAATATAATTATTAAAAAATGTTTAAGTGATCTTTGTGTCGTTCATATATTTGATATATATAATTCAAACAACTAACTTGACAAGATTGTATAGGAATAATGACTGGGAATACAATCCACGTAGCGCATTCCAGATTAGAATCTCCACTGTGAGATCCTTGATACATATAATAACTTGGACAATCTGTTGCTATTCGCATCCAAGATAAAGAATCTAAACATCACAAAATATTATCAAATTTTAAACGCTATATAAAATGTATCATTCTATTCTTTAAATATTAACTTGCTGGAATATTTGTCTCTGATCCAGCATTTTGAATATATTTTAGATTTTCAGAGATTCTTTCAAATTTGACATTGTTCCATTGACTGGATCCTGATTGAACCTATGAAGCAAACTTGTTAATAATGAATAAAAAATAAAATATAATTATGTATAAACAAATATACCAAGAATAAATAAGTTAACACGCAAAGACCATCACGATGTTTTAAACATTCTTCGAAAGTAAAGTATTTTTGATTCCAATGCACTAAATGGCATTCCATGGAATACCTAAGTTAATTTTAGATAAAGTTTATAACGATATATTAAAAGTTATACTAAAAAAACTCGAAGATAAAGTTATATATGCAATTATATTATTTAATTATATTATTGTACATTGTATTTTTTAAATTAATTAAATTGTATTATTGTATCATATAAATTACATTGTTGATAATATTCTTGAGACTTCCGCTTTCTATATAAAGATTATGCATTTTGAGAATTTTCTCCGTGTCCAGAGCCATTCTTAGACTGCAAGGTTCACGAAACGTTGGCATTCTAAGAATGGATCTGGACGCGGAGGAAATCCACGAAACACATAATCTTTATATAAATTATTAATTGTTATATATTATTATATATTTTATATCTTAAATTAAAGCTATTAAAAGTTACTTGATAAGCATTCTTACCAAGTACCATTGATTGTATGTTCAGCACCTCTACAATCATCTTCGCCCCAATGAAAATGTGCATCATGAAATTCGTATACGTTATTTATAAACGGTCCACCAGATACTGTTGACGGGATCCTATTGCCATTCAAAAAAATAATTGCTGACAAAAAAGTTTAATATCTAATCACATAATACAATGTTAATAAAATTATTTTAATATAAAGTTACCTTTTTTACCGTCATTAAACAAAGTTGCATTTCCATCCTTTAACCAATGGCCATTTAAGATTAATGGTGGAAATCTTGTACGTCGCACAATTTTATCATTTAAATCGATCGGTGCTTGACCACTTTTTAAATCTTAAAAAATATATTCCCATATAGTATTCCCATGTAATTTAAAATACGCATAACCTAATATCGTCACTATTATTTCTAATGCTCCATTTACCTGTAATTTTTATATAACTCGCCATTACTGTACTAATTAAAAATTATTTACCGAAACAAAATATAATTAGAAAATGTGATACAAAACATAATTTAAAATTATGTGTCATTTTACATCTTATATTAATTTAAATATAAATCTGATAAGTTACTAACTTTTGAAGTTGGCCGTTATATATATTATATGCAGTTACATATTTTATACAGTTATATTTCATATACATATAATCATAATCAGAGAGAAAACTGAGAGAGAATCTGTTTATTATTTAAGACCGTCTTAAGTACAGTCTTAATATGTCATGAACTAATAAAAAAAAAACTTATTATAATTATATATATATTAAAAACTTATTAACTTAAATTATAGTGCTTCTTAGGAAATTACTTAAAATGGTCTTAAAATAAGAAGTGATGAATATTGGTCCACCATTAATCTTAAATGGCCATTGGTTAAAGGATGGAAATACAACTTTGTTTAATGATGGTAAAAAAGGTAACTTTATATTAAAATAATTTTATTAACATGTATTATGTGATTAGATATTAAACTTTTTTGTCAGCAATTATTTTTTTTGAACGGCGATAGGATCCCATCAACAGTATCCGCAGACAAAATTTCGTAACAATAAGCATAAAGCATAAACTTAAGCCGATGAACTAATCAGGATACTGCTTTAGATCTACGTAATCGGACGGAAATACAAATAGCAGTATACTTATCCGTAAGATAAATTTTGACTGATTGAATTAAAATTAATTGCTTAGAAGTATAAACTGCCCGATTAATACATATATTTTCTATATTGTCCCGTTTCATCATGAATATTTAATGTGTGATCCACACACACACACACACACACACACACACACACACACACACACACACACAAACACAAACACACACACACATACACACACAAACACCTATGGCACTCCAATTATACAATTATACAATGGAATTTAATCATTACCACCTAAATAAGAAGTATGAGCAACGAAGTAACAGTCATAATAGTATCAGCAGTATCAATTTAAACTTAAGACTTAAGAAACGATGTGTATATGAATACAACAAATACAATAGAGAACGCCAACACGATTTAAAGTTAGATGTTTCGAAAAACATATATATTCTTTTTATTAAATTAACTTAATTCAGATATGAAAACTGCACGCTGAAGATTTTTCAAACTTTCAATACAATCAATCTGAAACGCTAATAATCCCCTCCTAAATCAAACTAGAAAAATTGTAAAGAACGAAAAATATTACCTCAGCACAGGGTATTTTTTTGTGGACCTGTACGCACACGCCCACAAAAAAAAGTACTCTGTGCTGAGGTGGAGATCCAGCTATTCTTATGTATTTTGAATCGCTGAAAACGAATCTGAATATGACCATCAAGGGTAAATTGTCAATCTAGAGCGAAAAAATGGGTCAAAATGGGAAAAAATTGATCATTTTTTCGCTCTAGATTGAATATTTAACCTGGATAGTCCTATTTTTATGTCAGAATCGTATTCAGCGGCTCAAAATACATAAGAAGAGCTGGATCTCTACCCCAGCAAAGGATACCTTTTTGTAGGCCTGTGTTATTAATTGTGATTATATTTGATTAATATATAGTGACTAATTATATGTTATTAATATATAGTGCTAAGAATGTGTAAGTTAATTGAAAATACTTTTCAACTTTTATCACCATTATTTTTTAATAACCCTACTATTTTATGACTTATGATATCCAGGATATGGGACACCTTGACTCATTTTTTAAAAAAATATTTTTATTTTTTTCTTAAAATCTAATAAATATATATTTACTAAATATATTTACTAAATATACTTATTAAATTTGAAAATATGCATTATGCTTTAATCATTAAAAAAAAATGATACAAAAATTTTTAAAAATTTAGGAGTGTACTTTTAAGAGTTTGAATTTTTATGACTCATAGTGCTCGGTCTCCCCTATATTTAAAATTTCATTTTTTTTAACGAAAATGAAACAGAAAGTTTTAGTAGAGTTTAGTATATAAAGAACAAGTTGCGACAAAGAACAGATTTTTTCTTATAACGTGTAAATATATCTATAACTTGTATTTTTTTCTAGATACCTGAAAGCAAGATTTTAGGCAATTTTGGACACGGATACAAGTATGCGGCTGATTTTCTGAATAAAGGTAGAGTAGATATTGGTGCTTGAATGATTGGAATAGCAAGAAAGTTTGGAAGCAATATCAAATATGCTGGAAAGGGAGCAATTTGAAGAGGACATTTTCTCATTCTAAGTATGCTCATTATTCCACGAACGAAATGTCCGTATATACTTAAGATCTAAAAAATATCTATTTTCAGGAGATGCAACATGAAAGAGCTCAAGCAACTGATAACTGATTTAGAACGTATCAGGTTATTGATTTACGATGCAGCTATAGTTAGTAGATATTAAAAAAGATGTTATGGAAGAAGCGGCTATGGCCAACTTTATTGCATCTAGTATAGTCTAACTTGCTAATTTTTAATTTATTTTAAACTCAAGGCTATATAGTGAAAGCTTGCCTATATATATATAGCCTTAAGTTTAAAATAAATTAAAAATTAAAAATTAGTAAATTACATAGGATATATGTATATATGTATATATATATACATATATATATATCCTATTTATAGAAACTGCGTTTAGGGTCACCTCTATGTGTATAGACTTTATGGGAAATGTTGGATTTACAACTGACTTTTCTCAGGAGAAATATTTAAGGATTTCATGATAACGATTTACAAAGGTACAAACAATATGCAGTTGTCAATGGTTGTAGAAATGTATGCGCAAGGAAATTCGTAAATTAGTAATCCTTAACACGACAATGTATGCTTACAAATTGATTTTTGATACATATATTTCATACTAAATATTAGGGAAAATAGCATATGTATTATTCAGAGAGAATCAAGGGAGAATGGAGTGGATTCAGACGAGAGTCGCTGTTTATTGGAGTGAATAGGAGATATGGTAGAAGCGTGATGGAACATACGGTGCTGCACACTAATATTGTACCGTGCTAATATTGTGTATATGTACATATATGTACATCATAGAACTTATATCACCGAAAGGGGAAAACGGA